AGTTCACATCTTTTTTGCCATCAATGCCAACAAACCACCGTCAATGCCCCATGCATCATCGCCAGCGGGGGGTCTCTACATGGCCTCCACGCTCAACCACTGCCATCGGCGACACCACTCAAAACTACCTGCCACGCCCTTGCCTCATGCACACAGAACCGGCTGGGCTTTTGCCAACTCCTTGCACCACCCATGTGCTAATTCTGTGATGTTTGGCTATTGTGGCTATCAGAGACTCTTCATTGTCAAACCGCGTCATAATCAACATTTCGCTTATAATTAAGGCGAATGACACACTTCAGTCACCCATTTTTGGGTACCTATGAGGTTATCCAATTCTTTGAATTAGGGAACCTTAGTGGTACCCCATTCCAGAGTGGTATGACCCTCATACCAATTCCATCATACCATGGTATGGAAAAAGCGGAGACTACAAACTGAAGTGGTATTATGTAATGACTTTCCCAATTGGGAAATATGCGAACATCGTCATGAACAATGACAACACTAAGCTAGCCACTAACTCTTGTGGCCCAAAGAGCATGGGAAACAGTTCCCAACCTAAATGTGCACTGTGCCTGACATTAGGTGTGGCAGAAAAAAGTGTAACACTTTTCCTGATTAGGAAATGGCCCAATTAGGAAATAGTGCGCACATCATCATTAACAATGACAACACTAAGCTAGCCACTAACTCTTGTGGCCCAAAGAGCATGGGAAACAGTTCCCAACCTAAATGTGCACTGTGCCTGACATTAGGTTAGTGTTGCCGGAGCTTGGCTCGGCTTGGCTGAGCCACGCAAGCCAAGCCAAAAGTAGCCAAGCAGAGCTGTTCTCACTGCTTGGGCGTCCCCAGCGGCTGCACCCTGCTTATGAGCCAGCTCCTTGATGGGATAGCTGGCTCAGCCACGGCTTGTATCCTATTTTGGAAGTAACAATACAAACAAAACTATAGCTTTGACAGTACAAGCCTTCTTACTCTGAAAATTGACCTCAATATGGACACTGATGTAGCTAATTATTCTGCCAACTTTGAAGGCTGTCAAGCAAGAGCTCGCATGTACAGAGCTGATATGTTATATATGTGACTATTTGGTTGTGACATGTGACAAACAAATGCTGTCACACATACAGGTAACCAGATCTCTCAAATTTTATGGCCAGAAAAAGTGACAAAGAGACATCAGGGTACTTGAGAGAGTGATGGTTATCCTTTGGATTACTTCCATTCATTTATTAAAGGTTTTTGACTGTAACTGCAACACTAAAGTAAAGGTTCCTTTTTTCGGTGATGAGCTGCTAGCTAGCCATGATTTGAGCCGCTGTGCCTGAACTGGAGCCATCATTTTGGCAGCTTAGCTCAGCTCCAAGCTCCCACACTGCCCGC